ATAAATAATAATTTAGTCAACAGTATTGTCAGAGTTGCCTTGTTACATATTAATATATTAATGTTTTTGAAAAAGAATATTGAATGTGAATTTCCATATAATATATATATACCACAATGATGTTTAACATTATGTCTGATTTATAATTCAAAAAATAAAATTATTTTTTTATCATTTATGTAAATTAAACCCATATATAGAAAGATCTGTTCACTACCCGGTTGACCCGTCGGGTAAACCCGCAGGTCACCCAGGTGAAGTTTTTTTAGACGGGTCCAATCTCTACCAATATCAAATACAGTTGCGTTGGGTAGATAGCATTCAAAATATATTTAATTATTTGCAGTAAAATGCAGATATAAAAATAAATAATTCATTAATCTCGGGAATGAAAAACCTGCAGCATCAGAATAGAAGAAAGCAAAATGCCTCACTAAAACAACTTACCTTGCGATTTGAAAAGCAACTGAAATCGGCTTGGAAAGTTTTTACAAAAAATAATTCTATTTCATTTTTATAAAGAGTTTTTATCACTTATTACATATATAAATAAATAAAAATTATGAAATTTGATAAGTCGGACAGATGAGTCCTTCCCACCATGTCCGACTTATCGAGTATCTCCAAAAATTAAAATTTTGATTGCTGTGTAATGTTACACCTCTCGCATTCCCCGCACTGAATTTTCAACACTGTAGTCAGGTCCCTCTAAGTGCACGCTATCACTTATTCCCAAAGGGATGCACTCAGAGGAAGGTTGGCTGTATTATTATTATTATTTGTTAAATTGATCCGTAATTTTTCCAATAAAAAATTGATTTTTTATGTTTACCACTTTTTATGTATATTAATAAAAAAGGAAAAAATCGTTGCACTGCTTAAAAATTTCATCCAAAATTCAAATACACCCTTATAAAAATTCCTATTTTCAATTGTACCATTTGAGGCCAATACCCAGTTTCAAATCTACCATCATCGAAAAATATATTTTTAATTAATTAAAAGAAGAGAATGATTTACTGTGTTTGTTAAATCGTTAACACAGAAAATGACAAAAAACATGGGAAATTCAAAAAAAAAGTTAAATAAAAATTTAGAGAAAGTTACGCCATTTAGAAGGTTTTGGGTTAATATTTTATAAAATTATCTACGCCGATCAATTTTCTGTTATTACTGTTTCTATAAATAAAATTACTCTTAGCATACATTATGACATAAGCGTGCTCATTTATGAACTAGTAATTTTTAATATGTATGTTATTAGAAATCCAGACTTGCCGATCTTGTATGTATATAAAAAACTTCCCGATTGATAAATGATTTGCGAATAAATAATTACCTAAACAGAAAGAATACATCAAGGCTAATATGATTTTTTATGTTGATCGTGCGATAATTATCAATTCTACATTATCCGGCAACTTTACTTGATTATGTAATATTGCATAAAATCATCGTCCCTGGACCGGTTCCAACCTTCACAATGATTTATTATAAATAAAAACTCCCGTTTTTTTTTAAAAAAAGTTTCAATCATTCAAACACTCACAAACAAAATTATCATGAAGTTTACATTAATTCTTCTTGTTCTCGTCACCATAATTTTCAACGCCTTTATCGTCACTTAGGACGAAAAAGAGATGCTCCTCTTCTTTCAACTTGGAAGGAAGGAATTGTTGTTACAAGTGCAAACTCATCATCTCTGAAAAAACAGGGAGGTGATTGTCCAAACGGTTTTTCCCCATGTCAGGATGGCAACAACCAATGCTCAGGTTCATGTCAGTCTAGCGATCCAGTTTGTGATAATGGTTGCTGTAGATCAGATGAAATTTGTTGCAGTGGTACTGTTAATTTTTGCTGTCTAGCAGGCCAAACATGTGGTGGGTCAGACTACGAATGTAACACACAAAGTTCCCCTACCGACAGTTCTATCCCCTACTTAAAAAAAGTATATTTTTAATATGTTTAGTTGCTTTTCAAAATTTTAATCATTATTGGTTTTTTTAAAATAATCAAGTTCCTTTTATTTTCAATTGACAAAATTCTAGAAAATTTAGAAGTTTGAAACTTTATATATATATACATAACCTTTGCTACAGACTGGTATAATGTTTTGTACAATTATTATGTATATGCTTGTGTCAGAAATATCATTAAAAAATTCCATGTTAAAATTACAAAAATTCAGCAAAGTTCTAAAAAAAATATATGAATTAGCTTTAGAGAAAATTGGCAGTAGCATTTCATGTTTGTTTTTTATTATTTAATAAAGTAAATGATAAAGCTTTCAAATGAGTCCAATTTTATTCAACTATGCTATGTTGTGTAATTGTTGGAATATGCATTTTTATAATAAGCGGGCATAAGAATTGTTCATTATCTAAAAAAGATTTTTTTCATCGAACAGTTTTGTAAACTTCATTAATAATGCCTCACGAATATATACTATTTGATTTGATTAATTTCCCTTATTTATTATTATATACTTAACCAGTTAATTAATTAACAGGTTAAAGTTTATTGTTAATTGGTTAGCTTTTTGGGCCGGTCATTTAATGATTTATTATAAATAAACAACCTTATCTAAGTTTTTTTTAAAAAAAATTTCAATCATTCAAACACTCAAACAAAAATCATCATGAAGTTTACATTAATTCTTCTTGTTCTCGTCACCATAAATTTCAATGTCTTTATCGTCACTGGGGCAAATCTGGGACGGAAAAGAGATGTTCCTCTTTTTTCAGGTTGGAAGGAAGGAATTGTTGCTGAAAATGCAAACTCATCATATCTGGTGAAAAGGGAGAAGGGTTGTGCAGACGGTTATTCTCCGTGTCCATCTGCGGGATGTTGTCCTACTGGTGTAAAATGTTTAGCTGATAAATGCGATATTCCATGTCAGTCTGGTGATCTAATTTGTGGTGATGGTTGTTGTAAACCAGGTAAAATTTGTTGCATCACTGAAACTGCTAATTTTTGCTGTCCAGCAAGCCAAACCTGTGGTGGATCAGACTACGTATGTCACGTATTATGATAGTTCTGCACCTTAAAAAGGTTAATATTTTTACTATGTTTAGTTGCTAAAATTTTGTGTATTAATATACTATTAAAATTATTTAAATCATTATTATTATTAGTTATTATTATTAGTATTATTATTATTGTATTTATTTTTACTATATTCGAATTATCAATAAAAAAAATTAGTTTTTATTTAACGAGAACGAGCCCGTTCGTCTTATATAATGTGTTACGAAAAAAATTGGCCAATTTTTTGTCTTTTTAAATTTGAACATGTAATTTTTTTAACAATCGCTCTAACACAAAAACACGCATAATAATTATACAAAAAAACATACCAATTCGTAGCTTTTATTCTGAGGATTATGGATATAAAATTATATGTGTCCATATTTTTTTAGACTTTCATCAATTAAAAATAAAAGAAATTCAATTGTTTTTGAAAAAGAAGAAAAATTTTAATGTAAAGTTTTTTAATCATTGATCTAAAACCTACATAATAATATGCTAAAATCTCTTGACCCTCTGATATAATTTTTCATAATGTTGCTTTGGATTTTGTTACTTCCTTAGAAAACAAATTTACAGGTCAATTACTTTCGTAACACTCTGTACCCAAAAAATAGTT